ATCGTTCAGATGAGGGCTTGATGGTAGCACCTGGGGTAGAGATACCATCTCAATGCTCTTCCACCCTGTTGCACTCAGCAGGTGGTGGCATGCATGCACTGAAGCTCGTAGTCACTTTGCTCCAGATAGGACTGTATGTTTTTTTGACCTGTGACATGGGGACTTTTGAGTTTCTTTGCAAGCATACTCCGCAAAGCTCTTGCTTACTTCCGCATACAGCCCTGATACATTCACGGTTCCTTCTCTGTAACTTTGGCTTGCTCAAAGAGAGCCTGTGCTCCCTTGTCCTCTGGCTCTGGTAGTTGACAGACAGAGATTGATGGCTGTTCCTACAGGATGGAAGAGAGGATTGGTTGTTTGAGTGACATCCTGTGAAATTGGTGGTACCTGCTCATATCTTTCATATCATCAGTCCATCAACTCGGCGAGTCCTCGTGACATAGAGAGATGTTGACTCCTCTTTTCTGATTGGCCACCTGCATGGGGCTGTCCCCCCTTTTTTACCAACCCTTCTTCCCTTGTTTGTGCAGAGGCTTTTACATCATTCTGGACTTGGCTGTGGGTCCAGCTGAAGGTCCACCTGTCACTAGTCCCAACATAATAATCGCAAGATGTGGTCTTTGAGGCATAGTGTTTCATCTGCTTTGCCTGGCGTTTGGCTACTCTTCTTGTTGCTTTGACCAGACACATGACAGAAACAACTTCAAAGAAGATGTATTTGATTAAGTTCACCATCTAGAGGATTCCATCCATGGTGGGTTAGGCATGACAGAGCAGCTCTGTGTATATCAGGGTGAGCCAGGAAGGAGTGGGAAGTGCCACTCTACTTGCTTTCTTCTTTGATCACATCCGGTCTTTCCTGATGCTTACTCTATGGCATGGAACCACCCATGTTCAGGGTGAGTCTTTCCTGTAATTAAATTCTCTCTGACAGATCCTCATTGTCACACCCAGAGGCATGTCTCATCAATATGTAGGGTGATTCTAAATGCCATCTAGTTGACAGTGAGGATTAACCATCGTACTCAAGAAATTGTCAGAAATACAGTTACAGAGGCCCCTCCCTATGAGATTCTACGGTTGGAGCCCAGTGTTCTTCGTGCCTTTCTGGTGAGTTGGGTGCTTGCTCAAGTTTGAGGACCATGGAACAAAGCAAGGTTGAAGCTGTCACTGTGTTTTCCATCTCAGCTTCACAGGCGGATTTCCAGAAAACTGTCCTTAGAGATGCCTTTGAAGATCACAGAGGAGTGGGCTGGTGATATGCACCTTCATTTCTAGTAATAGGTAGGCTGATGTGGGAGACTATGAACTTTGAGGCCAAACTGGGCTCCATCATGAGACCCTGTTTTAAGACAAATAAAGAAGGAATCTGTAGAATTGCCTTTCATGTAGCCTTTGAATCTGTTTAGCTCAAAATTCTGCAAACTGAATTGACCACAGAAGTCTTTCATCCTGTAAAATGCTGGTCCTGCCTCATTAGCTATCAACCCCATTTACTTTTTTCTCCCACTAGGAATCAATTCCTAGGAATGGGGATGATACCACCTAGAATTTTTCTCCTTACATTTCTGCTATTTGTCTTAGGTACAGTCTTGGAGAAAAGTCACAGCTGTACCTCTAAAGCCACTGGGGTGATGGCTGCAGAAAGATTTTGGACTTGAAAAGCACAAGGCTGGAGTGGGATTGAAGATCTCCTGCTGGCCAGTTCTAGGAATTTGGGTTCTTATGCGGTGTTAACAAAGTCAGATATCCACAGTACTATTTACAGTCAGAGAACTAATATAAGTGCAGGCTTAGGCATCTCCCAGCTTTTGCCCATTGGCCTCAGTTTTCCCACCAATAAAATTGAGAGATAATGTTAAAATAGTAAACATAATAAATGACTTTCAGGCAGTATTGATTAAAATGTTAAGAAGTAGTATCTGCAAAAAGAAATCCGTGTAAACTATAAAATACTAGAAAATGTTATCTATTGTCTTAAAAGCCATGCTTGCCCAGTCTCCATCCCTCTGCCTGGCCTGCAGTAAGTGATCCAGAAACTTCAGTTCTCTTTCAGACAAGCAGAGCCGCAGAGCACTAGAGTAATGCTTAGTCCTGAGGGACCTTGTTCATCTGACAGATAAGAATGATTTGTAAACAGCACAGGCTCTGTTTTATGTTCCATCTTCCTTAGTATTGATTTGTTTATCAGAATTTTTATTTATAAGGAGCACAAAAATAAACCAGCCCAAGTTCTGCACGATGCATTACAGGTTCTGAATTAATGAGGTCCACATTTAGGAGGGCTCTGGATTGGTTCTTCTTTTTTATCCTTTCTATGATGGGATGGGGAAGCAATTGCACCTGTTATGAAAGAGGAGTCCTGGTGCTCCTTTGGTTGGTAGCATGCACCTTCCATGCATCCCTTCTCCTCTTGAGAAAAATGATTTCTCCAGCTGCTAGCACTTGTGACATAGCTTGAGATTTGGGCAGAAGCCTTTAGTTTAGCACTGACAATGCCATGAAGCTATGAATCGTTTCCACAGTTTTCTAACAAGAACCTCCCTTGTAAAAAGCTGAGGAATGAATGATGTAATGTGTTTCAGAGTCAAGGGAATCAGTGGCAGGCTTCTCATGGTTTTGTTATCCCTGGCCCAGAGACCTCGATAGAATTGCAAACTCTTGAGTCCTGTCTTGGGTCTGCTGAATCCATCTATTTAAGTGTTTCTAGTATTCTGATGCACACTCAGGTTTGGGAACAGGGATAAGGAAGTAACTGCGGGACAGACTTCACCTTCCAGAGGAAGAGTGCTGGAGCCCTGACTATAAATAGCTCTTAATAAAGGGACCCTAGCAAGAGGTCAGTGACCTTCCCTGCTTGCATGAATCCCCCATCTTGGGTCGTTTCCACTTGTGCTGGGGCAGTGGCTCTCAAGCCTGGTCGTTCTTTGGAAACAAAAAGCATTTGTTTAAATACTCCTGCTTCATTGACTGAGACAGAATGTTTGAAGTTTGTCTGGGTATCTGAGCTTTTCAAAGTTCCGCATGATTCCCAGGCTACCCTGTGTTGAGAGCTCTAGAACATGGATTGCTAAGAAATAGTCATTTTGTTTTGACGGCATGGGATACATTTTTTGTAGGTATTTATTTCTGTGTTTGTATTAGAGAATTGTGTGTTCACTATAGACAAAACACCTTACAAAATAACAAATGGTTGAAAAGAGAAATAATTATCTCTCAGCTGACAAGATCCTTGTATATTTTCTCTCAATCATTTTCTTTTTTAATGTAGTTTCATGAAATTTTATGATGCTGTTATCATATTTAATATCCCATTTTTCAGAAACCCTTTAGCTTTTATGTGTTCCAAGTTCAATTTGTAATCCACACTGTGGCAGTATGAATGCATGGCGACTTGCCTCCATACTTGTGTATGTGCATTGAGGATGGTACTGGGAAGGGTTCATGCTTCACAATGCTTACAATACTCATGTTTCAGACACATCACAGTTTCCTATTTGAATGTCAGAAGTAGAATATTTACATCTTCCTCTCTAAATTTGTTCTTCCACAGTCCTCAACCTGCCCTCGCATTTTCATTACCTCAGTGCATATGAAGATGTCTGTATTTTGCCAGTTAGGGGATACAGTTTTATTGTAGGGATTCAATAAAGCAAAACATAAAGATGTTGCCAGTGTTTTATGGCCGCCGTTCCACCTGTCAGCTCAGCTGTTGCTGGGTTTCTCTTAAGTTGTTAGTCTGTGGTCCCACAGGTTGTGCATGATTCGTAGATAAACATACAGGGAGAAGCTGCCATCAGGCCCATTCCTCCATGCTCCGGAAAGGAAAAAAAAAAAGAAACAGAGATATGAGACAGCAAAGAAAAATGAGCTAGTTATTATAGAAAAGAACTTGGGAAATACAGAAAAGTTGAAAGGAGGCATAAGGAACTCACATGCTCCAATTTCTCCAAGGAAGCTGCCAGTTTCTGTGTGACTTCTGTTTTTAAAGGGTTTTTTTTGAAGATTTCATTTATTTGTTTATTTTTTATGTATATGGATATCTTGATTCCATGTATGTCTATACATTACATGCATTCAGTGGCCACAGAGGCCAGGAGAGAGTTTCAGACCCTCTGGAGTTACAGATGATTGTGAGCTATGTGGGTGCAGACAAGTGCTCTTAACCACCAAACTATCTTTCCAGCTTCTACCTACGCGTTTTCTTTAAACATTTTAATATCTTTTTGCAATGCACTGATTTGAAACTTTGCAGCTCTATTACTGTGTTTAATGCATTGTTTCCTCAATGCCTGTAAACTTTAAGAAAGGGTGGTGGGACAAGAACAGAGGTCCTCACATTGGTTCACTATATGACTTGTTGGATGTATGACGATACAAAAGCAGGACACAGTCAGTAGATATAGTTTAATATTGGAATTTCTTTTAAAATCTCTTTATGGACTTCCAAGATGCAGTGTGGTCTTCTCTGCTGATGCTGGGTAGTGCCTGGCAGCTGTGGTCACAGCAGAAACAGTTGGCACTCTATTGTGCTGTGTTGCCAAGGTACATTGTTCAGTAAGCGTCATTAGATGCTTCAATTTGCCATGGATTGATTAGGGTGCAACCATGCTGTAAGTTGAGCACCATCTATAAAGTAACATTCTAGTGTACATTGTGGTTACTCAGAAATGCCACAGTCACACCAGGTGTTTCCCTTTCTTCCTCTACTTTCAATGTAGCATTAATCTTTGTCACATAGCAACATATATACACATAAGATGTGTATGTATAATGTATGTTCACATGTCTATATATATAGCAATATATTCTAAGTAATATATATGTGTTATATATATATATATATATATATATATATATATATATATATATGAATGACCTTTGGCTTAGCTGTTGATTTGAACATAAACACTCCACCATTGCTGGGCAAGATGGAGCTGTTATTGTCTTCTGTGTTGCTGTCATGGATGTGTCAGGTAATTCTGCCCATCTTCTTGCAGGGCATTATGGGAAGGATGCTTACCGAAGTGGAGGACCAGATCTCCATAACTTCATCTCATCTGGATTTGTCACATTAGGAAGAGGACACACGAAGGGTACAGTGGAAACAATTTTTTACTAAAATACAGAGGTTGACTAGGGAACCCCAGTCTGAAGTTGAAGATGGTGTGGAGTCCTGAGGCTTACTCAGGATCAGGAATACATAGGGTGGTTCCATGGCAGCATGGCCTGGGCACAGAGATGACCAGGTGGTCACATTTATGACTTTAGACGGTAACAGACCTCCAAGAGACATCCATCCCACTCTGTACATGACGGGGACACAAGTACTGGTGGCTCTACATGGGAAGGGACCACAGGCATCATGGTGGGAAATGCTACCAATGGAAGTGGTACTTGTAAAGTGTGTGTTTGTCTCTGGGCTGTTACTCCCTTCCCTTTCAAAAGCCCTATCTTATACCCAATGTCAATGTTCTATACTGTGAGTTTCCAAGTCAGCGTTTATGTGGACAGTTCCGGCATCCTCGGTGTGTCTCTGTAAAACTCTGTGATGTGGGCACAAAGGTAGAGGTTATTCAGTCCTTCAAGCTGCAAGATGAAAGCTAAGCTAGCATTTCTGCCAAGCTGCTTTATGACCTAGCTGACAGCTTGCAGAGCATCTGTGCAGGGGTATGGAATCCTCCCCAAATCTGTCTTTTGTTTAAATAATCCTACTAGTGTTGTGAGCATTCTGTCACTGGATCCCTGACTCCTTTGATTACCTTCCCAACACCTGTGTGCTGTTACAGATTAAATGTGAACCCTGTTGTTGGGATGTTCCATTTCTGTCTTTCTCTGAAATATGTGTCTGTTTCAAGTGTGAGTGAACAAGGACTTTGCATTATTTTCTTACGTTCAATGATTCTACTTTTTAAATTCCCTGTGATGTGTGTTTATCCTATAGAGAAAAAGATAACTGTATATGTGTATGTATTTTTTGTTGTCTATTTGTGTCTAAATAAAGTTTATTGAGGATACAGGTGGCATTTGTGGCTATTAAGAGTTGTAGAATAAAACAAAACCAGCTGTTACAGAAGGGGGAATGGGCCACACAGTTAAACACAGAAAAACAATATAGAGACACTTGCATCAATTCAAACCCAGAGTTACCAACCCCTGCATATCCACTTAGTGGTAATTACCTATTGCCATGAAACAGAAGGCTTTAAACTCAACACTTGAAAGTAAACATTTATTGTGTAGCATAGTTTCTGTGGGTTGGAGATTTGGGAATTCCTGAATTAGGGAATCTCCTGTGAGTTTCCAGTTACCATGGTAGGAAGGGCTGGATCACCTAAAGTATTGACCAGAATTAGCAGATATAATCCAAGATGTCATACTTACTTAGCACTATATTGGCAGGAGGCCTCCATCCCTCCCCATTACACCCTCTCTGTGGTCTGATTGGGTTATTTCATGATGTGTTGTCTGGGTATCCCCAGAGTGTCTGATTCACAGAAAAAAAGACACAAGCCCCAAAGTCTTTCATGACAAAATGTATTGATTAAACACACCTCTATTTTCATATTTTCTTATAGGGTGTACGTGTCAGTTCTCTTCAGAATAGGCGATGACTATGTAGAGACAGGAATTATCAGGAGGGCTAGGGCATTTAGAGACTATTTTGGAGACTGGTTTTCTGTTACATATACCTCAAGGAGTGGAGTTTCTCAGAATCCAACAACTTACCAAGACTTCTCAACTGTGTGGTTTCCCAACCTTACTCCAACCCTTTAAAGGTGGTTCATGCCATAACATCAAGTAGTGAACTCTACATTGAACACGAGAAAAAATTGGAGACAAAATACAATGCACTCTTATGTGTTCTCTTTGCATTGGGGAAGCAAAATCAAGTCTTGAAAGTAAGTAGAAGTGCAGTAAAGATGAGTCTGGAGAGTACTGTGGGAGGAAGTTACTCCTGCCAGGGATGGATGCTGAGGTAAGGTTATCAGAGTCTTGTACCACATGCAGGGGAAGGCTTCAAGTAGAAGCTTTCCTGTGCATTATAAACAGAAAAGAAGTCTGTGTGTTCCTATGAAGAGTTACAAGGCTGTAGAAGGAATTGAGATTACTTCAAGACTTATGGAGAATGTCAGAGCTTTTGCCCAGTAAAGATACTTCCAGATCTCACTGGGAGTTCCTGTGTAGATCATTTTTTTCTAAGTGATACTTCCTGGAGAAGAGGCTGGTTTTGATCAATCTTGATGTCCAGGAAGATACATCATGGGGTCTGTGGCAGGAAACAAAAGAAGGAGGCAAGTGCTAAGAAAAGTGATGGGGTTTTCATCTGGGAAACCCATTGCCCTGGTGCTGTTATTAATTTTAGCAACAAAGGAAGTGGCAATGTGTTTCTCTGGCAGTTTAAGCCCCAGATCTGAGCAAGAGCCATGGTATGGCTATGGAAATTCTAGAGATTGCACAAATAATACCTGATTTATCTCTGACTCCCTGAGAAGGGAATAAAGCCAGGATTCAGCTTTAAAATTAACAAAATGCATAGATTTTATCCAATGATGATTCCGGGCAAATGATGTACAAGAAAAAGAGTAAAGGAGACAAGATTGTTAATGAGATGGGAAGGGGATTTTATAGTACAGGAGGAATATTTGGGAAGGGACCAAAGGCAGCCTGATGGGAAACATTGCCCATGAATCCAGCATTTGCTGCATTTGACTAAGGAAGGAAGAAAACAGAAGTATGAGGCTTTCTGTCCATATTTATTCATAGTTTTGGGTGATGACCAGGGCCATGGACTACTGTACTATTGGTAACTGGAGGAAGAAAAGAAGTTAAGGATACTTTCAGAGACGCCCTTCTATACACAGTCACCACATCAACTGAGCACACTCCACTCAACACTCTTTTCTGTGTCTGAGCTTACTCTTGTCTTCTTGTAGCACTTTGTCTGACCCACCTCCTGGTTTGCTCCACAGTGCTCTGCGGCCATGCTGGTCTGTCCCACATGTGTATTGGTCTAATGTTGCAGTGGTGATTGGAATCAGATACTTTTGTTTAGAAATCTGCATGCACGGGCCTCCATGGAAACATGGACTGCCATTCACCCATGAGGATTTTGAGCATGAACCCTTAAATCACCAATAGACTATAGCAAGAAGACTTCTGAACCATTCAACTGAAAGGATCCAGCTTAGATACTTTCACAGTCTTGGAAGCCAGGGGAGTGAGTGGGTTGAACTGTGCACAGGTATTTGAAGGCTGGACTTCAGATAAAGCACAGAGCTCAGAAGGCGTCCCAGTCTCCATGGCAACAGTGAGGCAGGATGAACACCAACAAAAAGAGAAGGCTCAACCAGCTTTCCTGGAAAAGTCTTGTATGAAGCTGATACTACCTAGGACCATTCTATAATATACCTTTCTATGAAGGAGGAGAACAGAGCAGGGGAAATTATTGTATTCACAGCCCAAAGCCCCATGACTCTAAGCCACTACTTGCTGTCTGATCTGTATACATTGGACAACTTCCTGGCATCATCCATTCTTATTCATTGTTGAATAATGACTGAATACCAAGAATCATTCATTGGTTTGGAGTGTTCATATTTATTCAAGGCTATTTCACACAATCCTTGACAACACACAGGGTTGTCCCTAAGTCCTATGGTTAGAGAAGCACATGCCAACCATGTGGTGCTGTTTTATTATACTTGAGTCAACCTCACATTATGTATAATTGTTAACATTGATGTATTACAATCAAGGATGAACCTGAACTAATGGAGAATACTACCCTCCAGCGAATTCATCTCTTGACATACCTGCTTTTCAAATAAACCCAAAAGATGTCAGACAAACAAAAACTCACCACAGTATGTTTGAGGGTCTCCCTTGGGTTCTTCTGTTTGCATGCTCTTCCGTTTTGCTGAACTGTGGTTATTCTGCAAAGCTCTCCATATGATCTAGGTCTTTTGACAAGAACATCCACTACCTTCTAGGAAGCAGAAAGGATGTTATTACTTACCTCCATCTAGTCCAGAACTCTGTCCCTATCTAGAGTAGTGCCAGGAGCAACTCAATCACGGGAGGAAATATGAGGATCACAACATCCTACATGTATTTCCTGAGCCACACAAAGACTACCTGTGAGCTAGCACAAACCTGTTTGTTTCCATGACTCCCACTTGAGGGAACAGGTTGCTTTCCATTGAGGAAGTCAGGCTACAAGCTGACCAAGGAAATGAATATTATCCCTGTTGAGCTCAAGTCACTCTGAGAAAGTATTGGGTTGAAATATTACACTGTCTGATATATTTGTGTGACATCTAAGCTGAACTCTACCACTCACTGCCTTGATTAATAGTGTTGTTGAAACTTAATCTACATTCTGAGTCCTGGGACACACATGTCCCTGGGTAATGCTTACATGTATGTAGACCTGCTAACATTGGCCTATACATCTAACTATGCCAGACTTGTACAATATTTTGCCAGAAAGAAGAGGTAGTAGAGGACAAAGGCTAAGCATCAGGTTATACTGCAAAGGATCCTTGCTTTAGGAAATGCCAAATCATTCCTCTAAATACAGGTGTCCTCTTTAAAAGTAGGAAAACTTGGGTACCACCAAATTCCCCCCTACTCTCCATTAGTGGGACATAAGGAAAGGAAGTGACAACTTTGGAGTGATGAGTTCATTCCTTATTCTAACAATATCTACCATTCTACCTGTTTCCTAGCAGGCAGGAGGGAGACTTACTCAAAACCTGTTACACCTTGGAGTGCAGCCCTGTCAAAGCCTCTTTGGGCGAGATGAGACCACAGAGTTCTTTTGGAGGCTGGCTTGCCCAACCATTCAGATTGCTAGCTGTCTGTTTCTGATTCCTTGCTAGTACTGTGTTTACACTTTCATTTCCCATGAGCCTTGGCTTTGAGAGTAAGTTTGTGGCCAGTGTCCTAGCTGCCTAGCACTGACCTTGGTGATGACTGGTCATCGAAGTTGGAAATCTCTCCTGCCCATGAGTTACTCATGGTGTTTGCTTCTCTTGTCTTCTGCTATGTCACAGCAGCCAAGCTATGGGACTATGTCAAGTCACTGGGTCTG